CAGAGGTCCCCTCGCGCTGCAGGACGCGTAACGCACGGGGCGTTTGACATCGGGGAACGGATATCTTTTTATCCAGCGTAAGTCACATGCAAAATAAATTGCAAAGGGCAGCAGCAGGAGCAGCTGGTAAAGACAGATTAAAAATCGGATTTAGACAAGCATCTTCAGGCAAAAAAGATGCTGAGGATTAGGCTGCTAATTTGTAATCACAGATGGGGATAGGGCTGTGCTGGCTGGGCAGCGTGACCAGGCTTGGGGGGGAGCACCAGGCACCGTGCGGGCTGCAGCGGGAGGCAGGAGCGGGGCAATGGCCCGGGGGGCAAACGCGGGGATGGTGCGAAGGGCCGGGGTCACCCCGGGGCTCAGCGCTGCCCCCCAGGCAGAACCCCCCAGGCCCACGGAGCAAAGCACCCCCTCGCACCGCAGCCTTGCTCACAGAAATAACACCCAGCCCATGAACCTTAGTTTCCTTTACCACCTAGGAGGAAAGATTAAACGCTAATTAAGCCCAGCTCAGAGAGTGCTGGGGGCCGGGCTGCGGGGCTGAAGGCGATGTAAATACTAGGGAGCAGCAGAGATCCACGCAACTCCTCTTCCCCTACGCAAAGGTAATTTCCACTTCAGCACCGACTTCATTTGTTTTTTAATGACCTGAATCAGAAATTTTCTGCTGATCTGTGCCTCAAATGCTCCGGGATATTTGCAAATTGCTGGGGATCAGGAGAGGTTAAACAAATGGGCTCTCCAGGCACGGGTGTGGAGCTGGCGCTGGCCGGCAGCCCCCGGCTGGGGCATGGCAACCCTTGAGCGACCTGCGGCTGGACCATCACCGTCCCTGCTGAAGGCACTTTGATAGGGTCCGCTGAGGCCATCGTCTGTGTTCAGCACGCACAAACCATGCAATCTGGGGCGGGGGGTGTAGGAAACAACGAGGTGATCGATGGCTTAGCAGTTATCTGTTACCGAGCGCGGCTGGAAGCCATCTCTCGCTGCCACCTTCCATCAGCTGCCACCTCAGGGCCCGCCTGGAAGGGGCTGGGGGGGCCCGGGTGCCCCTGCATGGCACGAGCGGGGCAGGACCGCGCAGGCCGGTGCCC